TACCTTTTCCAATTCTAATATATGTTTTGGGATCGTGCGACCAGAACTGCACACAGTGTTCAAGGTGTGGGCATAACATGGATTTATATAGAGGCAGTATGATATTTTCAATTTTATTATCTATCCTTTCCCTAATGGTTCCTAACATTGTTAGCTTTTTTCACTGCCACTGCACTTTGGATCGATGTTTTCAGGGAACTATACTAAACCGATCTGGGCAGCAGTTTAGCAGCATTGGATTCTTCTAGCTAGCTCTCAAAATGATGTCCCCTTATATACTGGTGTAGAACAAAGATAATCCTTTCTCATGATTTGATTTGATTTTGAATCAATAAGCCAATGACAGCTGTAATTACTTAATTACCACTGGGAAAATTTGCAATCACAATTAGCTCTTAAGGCTTAGACATGAATCAGTAGATTGCTGGTTAGCTGTTACATTGATTTCAGAACACATCTGCTATATCAAATGTTCCTTGTCCATTTTGTCCATTATTAATCTTACCAATTACAGGGCACTTATGTATATCCCTTATCAATTACACTATTTTGTCTATGACAACACACTGCTATAAAAACAGGCATCCCTTTATAGACTGTGCGGGTTTCCAGAAAAGAGACAAAGAAAATGACCTATGGACTGTGAACCTCTTTTCATGGTATCTGATTTACATAATTGATTCATTCATTCCAAGGCCAGAAGGGACCATTGTGATCATCTAGTCTGACTTCCTGTGTAACACAGGCAAGAGACCTGCCCCCAAATAATTCCTAGAGCAGATCTTCAGAAGAAACATCCAGTCTTGATTTAGAAATGATCAGTGATGGAGAATCCACCACGACCCTGCTGAATTGTTCCAATGGTTAATTACTCTCTCTGTTAAAAATCTACGCCTTATTTCCGCTCCAAATTTTTCTAGCTTCAACTTCCAGCCATTGGATTGTGTTAGACCATTCTCTGCTAGATTGAAGAGCCCATTATTAAATATTCGTTCCCCCTGTAGATACGTAGAGACTGTGATCAAGTCATCCCGTAACCTTCTCTTTGTGAAGCTAAATAAATGGAGCTCTTTGAGTCGGTCACTATAAAGCAGGTTTTCTAATCCTTTGATCATTCTCATGGCTCTTCTCTGACCCCTCTCCAACTTATCAACTGATAAGCTAACGGCATCTCTTCAACCATCCATTATTTTATCAGCTGCAAAAGATCTCTGTAACCCAGTCATTATGACAGGAAACATTGGTTAGAGCAATTTCCTGATCAGCAAAACACATCTTCCAATAGATTATTTTAATTAACCACAGGAAACGCCTGCCACATACCAATTACGAGTGACCCTTTTCTTGGTATCTGGACTAGGTTAGCTAAAGTTCAGTTTAGGTTCATCTGAAAGACAACAAATTATAAACGCAAGGCATGCTGGGACTTTGGTTCACCTACAAAGAACAAAAAGGTTGATGGGACTTGTTGTAGGAGCAGCAGTGATCTGTATGCTCTGTATAACCTGTATGCTCAAAAGATCTGTTACACTCCCCCCCCCCCCCTTGTCTCCTGTCCCTCGTTGAATACCTGTGAAGGGGTTTTCCCCCTCCCCCGCCCTCCTGGAATGCTTGTGGGATGAATGGGCTGGTTGAGCAGCTGGAAGATCAGAAGAGCTCCCAGGTAAACAAGGTGTCTGGGACTCTAATTAGGCAGCAATCACATGCCCAATGCATGGACGCCACATGGACACTGCCCGAGGTGGAGTGTCATAGAATATCAGGGTTGGAAGGGACCTCAGGAGGTCATCTAGTCCAACCCCCTGCTTGAAGCAGGACCAATCCCCAGACAGATTTTTGTCCCAGATCCCTAATGGCCCCCTCAAGGATTGAACTCACAACCCTGGGTTTAGCAGGCCAATGCTCAAACCACTGAGCTATCCCTCCCCCCAACCAGACGCAGCCAAGTCATCTCTAGTCGCAGGCCATGAGGAGCAGGTCCTTAAAAGGGGAAGGGGCCATGTGCTCGGCAGTGCACTCACAAGCTTGTACCTCCCGTGAAGGCCCTTCGCCCGGACCGCCTGGCCAGTGGTTCGCTGCGTTGCATGCCAACGTGCCTCGGGAAGATTTACCTTCATCACACCGTCCATCGCTGTGCTGTGGGACACTTACCTTGAAGGATCCTGACATCTCCTGTGCCGTGCCTGTCCTGGGAGCGTGAGTATGCGAGTGTGAGGGTGACCCCCCCCCCCTTCTTTTAGCTATCGGTATAATAAATGTGCTGCTTTCTGCCAAACTCTGGTGGGTCATTAGTCCTCCCTCAGCTCACTAGCTGGCCCAATTTCGGGTAACAGGACTCTGGTTTATTTACTAAGAATAGCGATCATCCATCATTTGGGGGCCTCGGTCATTACACTAAGAATAAAAGTTGTGTTACGTTGCAACCCTCCACCAAGAGTGCTGTTTTGTATCTAACTTCTCCATATGTCTGCCGGGAACGTATTACTTAGGACCAGATGCTAAAGATATTTAAGTGCCTAAAGTTGCAGATAGGCTCCTCAAGATCCTGAAAGTGAAAGGTGTTTTAGGTGCCAGTGGTATGCAGGTCCCTAGTTTTAGTGTGGCAGCACCCACCCAGATAAGCCAACCCAAAACAGCCCATGCGTGGTGGGGGGGGGACAGAAACCAACTGCCCTCCCCCCTCCACCTCATGCACCTGGCCTTGGCCTGCCAGCCATGCTGCGTGATGAAGGGCAGGCAGGCTCTGTAATGAACACCGTGACCTAAGCTCACACCACCTCCAGTTCATCTTGGCTCATCCCCGGACAGACACAAATAGCATCAGGGACTGTGCCAAGCGTCACGCGAGGGGAGGAGGATGCAAAGTGTCTCTGGGTTGTGACTTCTCTTGCGCTGATTTCCCAGATGCCCAGAGAGAAGCCAGCCATGCCCTTGTCCCCATATCCGGCTCACAACCCCTGCCTGACTCAGCTATTCTGCTACCGAAAGCAGAGCCGATTCCTCCCTGGAAGACAAGCTCTAGAGAGCAACTCGGCTTTTCTGCTGTATGAAACAGAGCCAATCCCACGCTGCAAGACAGGATCTCTCGCCTAGAGCGACTCTGCATTTCTGCTCTATAACGCACAGCAGACACCTCGCTGGGAGGTGGGATCTCTCTCGACTCTCGCAGACCCTGGGAGGTAGGTACTATTTTTCAATAAACACTTGAGCCTCCTTCCGGGTAAACATTTCTTCGGCCAGATCCTGAGCTGCCCACTGCCCTTTTCCTCGTGCCGTACACAGACTGAGTTTGGCCGAGCAGAAGCAGGGCTAGGATGAGGAGACCAGCCTCTATGAGGATCTATTTTTTCGGAGATTCATAGAGTTTCAGGTCAAAAGGGATCTGTGGAAGAAAACACAGTCTTCACTCTTAGGGTTGTTTGCAACAATTTAGAGACAGTTTATTTTTAAGCAATTGCAAGGGGGAGAATGCACATGGACAGGGATTCCCCCTTCCTAGGCAGGGCTCCGCCAGATAAACAATTTTGTTGCATACAAGAATGATCAACAACCGCGTCTTGTTTATACACATTTCTTCCTGATATTTTACGTTTTTCAGCAGTTTCTGCTACAATCTGGGTTTATTTTTATTTAACATAAGGTCAAAACAGTATCTTTTACAGTTTTCCTCACTTGCTTCCCCACGCGCCCAGGCCCTGCCTTAAAGTCTCACGTTATTAGCGTTAGTGTTAGCCTGACTTTTGCTTTATTTTTAGAAACTAAGATATTTGCGTTTAAATTCCCTTTATCCCTTTTTCCACTTCCACAGATCGTTATGATCATCCGGTCTGACCTCCTGTCTAGCACCGGCCGGGGAATTTAATGCGGGCCGCGCATCAGCACTGGGTCAAACGATTGTCATGGAAAGGCCCAAGTGAAACACGCAGGGGATATTTCACTCTGCTCTGAAATAGGACTATGGCTATTCCACTCTTGCCTCTAAATCTTACCTCCCCAGTGCCAGAAACAGGAGAGAAGCACCCAGGACTGACTTGGCTAGCCAAGCGGGTAGCCATCTGACAAAAGCAGTAGCCCCTCCGTTTCTCCTCTGAGATGGCGACTAGAGAAAGGAGCAGCTGCACAGGAGTTTTGAAGGTGTTTGGGGGGGGGGGGACAATTTTCTCAGCCCCTAACTTGGACAAATAAAAGGCCCAAGAGCTGCAGTTACATTTTGGCAGCATTATCTGAACGGGCCCTGACCTCTACCTTGCATGGGCTAAGATGGGGTTGTCAATAGGCAGCCCGTGTGGTCCAAACCTGGACTGCCAGAGACTTTTCAGCAGACCGCAGGGTGTGCCAGGACTCGGACTTCCAGCCCTGCCTGGAATCGCGCCGGGACTCGGGGCTTCAGAGGGAAGCAGGACACGCTTTGTTCCAGCCCTTCCTGTCCCGCTGTAGATTTGGGATTGCAGAGAACGGAGAGGAGCTCACCCTGCACCAGCGAATCTTACAGGCATGAGAGTTGCTGGCTGCCTCCCTCCTTATTCTCCCCATCCCTCAGTCAGCAGTTTCAGGGGCAGCACGCAGCCAGTAGCTGGCCCTGACAGGAATGGAAAATTACTCTGACCAGGGAGAAGCCCCTGAACCACTGAGGTACACTCATCAGGATCAGCAAAGCCCCAGCACAACCAGCAAAGGCTGTCTATGACCCAGCATCCACAAAGACATTGGCTCATAGGCTACAAAGGGTTAAGCAGAACAACAGCTAGGACACAAAGGCCAACAGGAAGGTGAGATTGCTCCCAGTGCAGGATGGGAAGATGAGAGGGGGTGACGCATTGTTCTCTTGTGGAACCAGAGGCCACCTGCCATCACTGCTTGGGGAGGATCTGAGGGGGAAGCGCCTGCAGCCATGGATCCCTAAGGCTATCAGGTGTTGGGGAGCATGCCCCTAAGGTCATCCAGCCACTGGGTGGGTGGAACACCCACCAACACTGGGTGGGGCAAAGCCACCAGTAGGCATGGAACTGCAGGATGGAGATGTTAGCATCTGGGTGAGAATCCACCACGAGTTGGGAGGCCTCCGGGAGGGTTGTGGGTTTGCAAACACAGGTCAGAGAAATCACCAAGCAAGAGACGGTTTCCAGAGACTTCTGACTCTGTAGTGAAAGGACGAAGAGTCCATGTGTACGAAGTGTTATTTTCTTTCAGACTCGGATACTTACGTTAAAGAAGCCACAAAAGGCCGAAACGTTTTTAATATGTTATCTATATACAGCTGTGCCTATAACAACTGTATTTGACAATACTCAGTCAAAACTTAAAACCGTTGTCTGAAAGTGTTTTAATGCTAATATTTGCATCTATTTGACATTTTATCTAAGTACTTTCTCAAAGGCTTAGCTGTAATTTATTACATCTTTCTTGGAGGGGTTTTTTAGGTTATAGAGTGGTTTGATTTTATTTTTCATGTAATGCACTAAAAATATAAGCAATAGGCCCTGGGTATATTTCACAGCATTGTACATGTTCATTGAACACGGACACTTGCAGTGTGAAAAATGTTTCTCTGGAGTCCAGAGCTTGAGTATATCTTGACCAGGAATTTGGACCATGACACAAAATAATTGATTCCCCCTGGACTAAGAGCTGAAGTCTCGGCCCAGATACCTGTGAAGTGACAGAACTGTGAACAGTTCCATCCCTGTAGGTACTGCAGGTGGAGCTAGGCAGAATTTGTCATATGAAACTTACTCTGGCAAAAAACGCAGATTCAGCAACAACAAAACAGTTTATAAATGTATGTTGATTTTACTGAATCATTTTGGTTTGGAAAAAAATAAAGTCTAAAAACACATTCCGAAAAACCAAAACATTTAAACTTTGACATTTCTGATACCAAACGTTTCAATTTATCAGTTTGAAATGATTGTTTCAAAAAGTCCTTTAATTTTGTTTGGAAAAAAACAACAACAATCAAAAGCATTTAAAAAATGCTCAAAATGGAACAAGTGTTTGTTTTTTCAGGTCAAACAAAACATTTCATTTGACCCAATTCTTTTATTTCTATTTTTTTGAATTGCCAACGAACCAAAACATCTTTTATTTGCCCAGTTCTGATAGTGGAACCATTCTGCTTACAAGAAGAAATGGAGGAATCTGATGAATCTCACAGATTGTTTAACAGCTGGACATGGGTGAGGCCTCAGCTGGAGTATTGTGTCCAATTTTAGGCACTGCACTTTAAAAAAGATGTGGCCAAACTGGAGAGAGTCCAAAGGAGGGCAACAAACATGATAAGAGAACATAACCTATGAGGAAAGGTCGAAAGACCTGGGCATGTTTAGTTAGAGAAGAGAAAGCAAAGGAGGGACCTGATAACAATCTTCAAATATTTACAAGGCTGTTACAAAGAGCGCAGTGATCAGTTTTTCTCCATGTCCACTGAAGATAGGACAAGCAGTAACGGGCTTAATCTGCAGCAAGGGAGATTTAGGTTAAATATTAGGAAACACTTTCTAACTGTGAGAGCAGCGAAGCTCTGGAACAGGCTTCCAAGGGAGGTTATGGAATTCCCACTGCTGGAGGTTTCTAAGAACAGGTTGGACAAAAACCGGTCACTGATGTCTACACCATCAGGGGCTTGTTCACCTGCACATCTACCAATGTGATATATGCCATCATGTGCCAGCAATGCCCCTCTGCCATGTACATTGGCCAAACCGGACAGTCTCTATGCAAAGAATAAATGGACACAAATCTGACATCAGGAATCATAACATTCAAAAACCAGTAGGAGAACACTTCAATCTCTCTGGTCAATCAGTAACAGACCTAAAAGTGGCAATTCTTCAACAAAAAAACTTCAAAAACAGACTCCAATGTGAAACTGCAGAACTGGAATTAATTTGCAAACTGGACACCATCAGATTAGGCCTGAATAAAGACTGGGAGTGGTTGGGTCATTACAAAACCTAAACCTAATTTCCCCAATATTAATTTCCCCCTACTGTTACTCACACCTTCTTGTCACCTGTCTGAAATGGGCCACTCTCTTACCAGCACATCGCTCGCCCACGCCGCTTCTTGCCGCCCCCATTGGCCCGGGACAGCGAACCACGGCCAGTGGGGGCCGCGATCGGCCGAACCTGCCGCGTCAGCAAGTAAATAAACTGGCCCGGCCCGCCAGGGTGCTTACGCTGGCGAGCCGCGTGCCAAATGTTGCCGACCCCTGCTCTAGTCTATAGCTGACCAAACATTTTCCAATGGAATATTTTTCTGGCAGAAAATGCCATTTCATCAAATCAAACTTTCTGCAAGAATGTGTCAATTTTGACATTTTGTTCTGAAAAAAAAAAATTGAAATGAAGCGTGTTCTGTTTTTACCTTATCAGAAGAGAACATTTTGATTTTTCATTTTGAAATGAATTTTCATTTCACTTTTTATATTATAGAATCATTGAAATGTGGGGCAGGAAGGGACCTTGAGAGGTCCTCTATTCCAGCCCCCCTGCGCTATGGCAAGACCAAGTAAACCTAGACCTCCCTGACCGGTGTTTGTCCAACCTGTTCTTAAAAATCTCCAGTGATGGGGATTCCACAACCTCCCTTAGAAGCTGTTCCAGAGTTTAACTACCCTTATAGTTCGAACATTTTTCCTAATATTTATCCGAAATTTCCCTGGCTGCAGATTACCCCATTGCGTCTTGTCCTACCACTATTATATTACATTCATGACATGATATTTATATTATTTGACATGAAAAGTTGTGTCAAAACATATAATATACATTTTTAAATAGTCAACATCAGAATGAAATATTTTGCTATTATCAAAACGCAGCTTTTCGACTGGACTTGAAATTTATTTTATTTTTTCAAAAATTTCATTTCATCGGAAATTTGGAAATTTCGGGATCTCATTCTGATTTGGAACCAAAACAAATTTGGAAAGGCGGCATTTCCCGCCGTATGGAAATCCTGAGTTCCAACCAGCCCTGCTAAATTCATCACCGCCCCGGGATAGGTCAGAAAGTAGACCAGACTTTCTGACCTATCCCACAGATCTTTCTACCCTTCCTGTACGGTCCCGGAAAACTGCACTCCCGTGTGAACCTACTTTCTGAGCTAACAGACCCAACTCTGTAGCAGATGCATCAATCTCGGTGTGGCCACATCACCAGAGGGAGCCAAAGCGCCATACCCTGTAGTGTGCGTTGCACACATCCCCTAGTGGAGGAAGTGCATCCTAAACGCCAGTCAGCATAAATCCCAATTTCCCTCCTACTGCCAACAACCCATCCAGAGATATTACAATCACATTTGGGTGTTGTAAATGTAGCCTGAACGCTGGGTGGCCTGGGTTTATAACGCGGGTTTGAGGATAATTACTTTCCTTTTTTGTTTGTTTGCTCCCAGAACCCCCTGGGAGACAGGACAAGGACCTGAAGCGGGGTCTGCAGGGGACATGAGGGGACCCTGCCCCCCACGGGGCCCTAAATGACATCAGATGAAGTGGGAGGGTGCTGCACACACACAGCACAAAAAGCCGGCCCCGAAGAGTTTACAATCTCTTGTCACGCCATCCTCAGGGTGCCCTGAGCAGTAAGCCAGTGTCACTTCTCTGCCTCAGCTTTGCTGGCGCTTAAACTCATAGGTGCCGACTCCATGAGTGCTCTGAGGCTGGAACACCCACGGGGAAAAATTAGCAGGTGCTCGACACCCACTAACAGCCAAGCTCCCCTCCCCCGGCCCCACCTCACCTCCTCCTCCCATGAGCGTGCTGCATCCCCACTCTTCCCCCTCCCTCCCAGCGCTTCCTGGCCAGCCGCCACCTAACAGCTGTTTGGCGGCATTTAGGACTTTCCCGGAGGGATGAGGAGGAGCAGGGACGCGGCACGCTCAGGGGAGGAGGCGGAGAAGGGGTGGAGACTTGGGGGAAGGGAGTAGACTGGGGGCAGGAAAGGGGCGGGGACTTTGGGGGAGGGGTGGAATGGGGGCAGGGCAAGGGCGGTGCAGGGGTGGGAAGAGGCAGGACAGGGGCGGGGCCAGGGGTGTGTGTGGCGGGGGGTGTCGAGCACCCACCAGGCAGAGGGGAAGTCGGCGCCTATGTGTGTCAGCTCCCTGCCGCACCAGCCCGTCCGCCCCACCAGCAAACTCCTCGAGACTCAGCCAGTCTTAACCTTGCTTTGCAGGTGACATTCAGTGAATCCCAATGCCCGCATTCCCCAGAGACGGCTCTCGGCAGCAGCCGGTCCCCCTCACTGGACACTCACAGAAATGATTAAGTCCACTGTCTCCAAAGAGAGAGAGCACACGCACAAAGCAGGACACGCACCAGTTTGGCTGAGGACTCCCGTTTTACTTTCATACCCAGCGCCGAGATACTTGATAGTAAAACTAAACAGGAGTTCCTTAATGAAGAGCAGAGATTGAAGTGATACTAGGGCAAGAGCGAAAGTTACAAACGAAACAAAAGTAACACGCTTTCTAGTGACCCCAACTTAACTTTCCCAAGTTCCCATCTTCGCCTAAGCAGCTTTCTCACTTGCATCAAGTTACCAGCATCACCCGCCCCTCAGGAGCCGCTGGTCACAGAATCAGAGGGCACTGATCCCTTTGTCCCAAGTGCCCCCGTTCTTCCCTTTCACAGCCCAGAATGCCTTTGAGATGAATTCTGTGAAAAGTAAAACCAGATAAAGTTCCTCTCCCCGGCTGCTGCTTCTTCCGGGTGCAGGCACCACCCCGCTTCTTCAGCTTCCGGTCCATTGGCTCTCTCAATTGGCTTCTAAGATAAATCAAGTGATCAAGCCAATGTCCTTCTATTGCCCTGTGCTTGTAATCCAGCCATGCCGTTTTTTCTTGATCCACATCGGTTAATCCACATTCCTTTGTCAAGGGCAGGTTTATTTCTCTGATGCCTTCACCAGTGGTGGGTTAGCCACTGGGCCGATGGGGCCTGTGCCCAGGGCCCCCAGCTAATTGGCGGGGGCCCAGAAAAAATCTGCCACCAGGCGGCAGAAGCCCGGAGCCCCCTCAGGAGCACCGGGCTGGTGGGCAGGGTAGGGGAAGCCCCAGTGCCCCAACCCCGGTAACAACGCTAGGAGGGCAGGGCAGGGGAAGCCCCCACACCCCAACTCCACTCCCCAGCAGAAGCACCAGGCACCCGAACCCCGGCTGTGGCACTGGGACTGGAGGAGTTCTCGCTCCCTGCTGTGGCCCCGGGGCCGTATCTGGGGGTGGAGGGAGGGGAGAGCTTCTCCGGTCCTGGGGCGGGGCAGAAAGGAGCAAATGGGTTGCGGGGCTGCAGTGGGGGGATGGAAATGGGCGAGACCATGGGTGGAACAGGGGCATGGTCATGGGGGGGGGAAGGGGCAGAATGGAGTGGGGCTGTGGGCGCGGCCACAGGCAGAAAGGGTGGGAGAGGCCCCCCCACTTGCTCTGGTCCAGGGCCCCATGAAACCTTAATCCACCTCTGGCCTTCTCAACGTATATTAAAATTATACATACATCTCTATATACAATCCGTACATCCTGACTCTCACCAGCGTGTCACCAGGTTTTATATGATGCTTTACAAGAGACTGTTTGGCTAAATATTTTGACAATATTGGGTGGGACGCACCCTTCGCCAGTTGGCATAATGGGGCTTTTAGAATCACATCTACGTAAATACTCTCAAACTTCACGTAACTTTTGTCTGGGAATTTCCTAGAGCTGTGTGCTGCACCATTCATTAAGTAGGTTATTACATGAGTGTATGGATATAAATGAAGCAAACGAAAACAATAAGCAATTGAATACCATTCACCTATTCCTCCTCTGTTTTTCTTGGTAGATTTTTTCAATCCGGAGCGAGATTCACGCACTGTGCGAGATCCAGAACCAAGGGAGAGAGATTTTTTCAATCCAGAGCACCATACAGAGCTGAAGGAAGAAGATGGTTTCAATCCAGAGCAGGAATCGGAGACTCAACGAGACCCAGAGCCAGAGGAGAAAGATGGTTTCAATCCAGAGCCCGATCCGCAGCTGGAGAAGGAAGACGGTTCAAATCCAGAGAAGGAATCAGACATTGAGTCAGACCCGGAGACGGGTGGTTCCGATTTGGAGCAGGAATCAGAGACTCGCCGAGACCCAGAGCCCGAGGAGGAAGATGGTTCACATCCAGCACCCGATCAAGAGCCCGAGGAGGAAGATGGTTCACCTCCAGAACCCGATCAAGAGCCCGAGGAGGAAGGTGGCTCAAATCCAGAGACGGAACCAGACCCTGAGCCAGAAGGTTCAAATTCAGAGCAGGAATCGGATACTCAGTGAGACCTAGACCCTGGTGGGAAAAAAAAAACTCTCTCAAAAGGTACGTCCTCATAGGTGATTCATTCTATATCCACAGAGTCCACTTATGACTGCCATGGGCTGCCCTTAGTGTTTCAACCGCTTAAAACCATTAATTCACTCCAAGAGGCCACCGATGGAGAAGAGCAATTCCCTCGCTGTTGCCAGGACTGCGTTGTTAACTAGAAGGGAGATCCCTGTGTAGCACTGTGCATGATCATCGCAGCACCGCGATTTCTTCATCCATCGGGACATGGAGGCTGGGAACGTCCCTCAGGAAACCGCAGATGGGCTGGTCGAGATTTCCTGGTATTTCCCTGCTGGGAGGGAGAATTCAAATGCACCCGTGTGAACTATCCCATCCAGCACAAATGGTCAGGGCGCCGGCAGGAGAAGTGGGAGGCCACAACCCCGTTTCTCTAGCTGTGGCTCTTGCAACTGGCATCCAAGCCTTCCTCACTTCGCTGTTAGGGTCGGACTCAGCAGCTGGCACAGAATTCGGCAGCTAAGCAAGGTGTCATTTCACAAGCCAAACCTGTGACCCATAATGGCTGCCAATTGGCTCCCAGATTGACTTCAAGATCTTGGTTAAACTGGTGATATCTGCTGTCATGTCCACCCTCTGCCTAGGTCCCTTCTCACCCAGAGCTGGGAAGCTCAGATGCATTCTGCAGTGGTTCCCTCGCTTGTCCAACGGTGGTGAATCTTTCCTCTCCAGGGCCTCGTTCTTATCTCTTCTTCTTGCTGCTTTCTTATATTTTACCATCACTCCCTAGATGCAGCCCCCCTTGCACTTTCTTCACTGGATGCCAATGGCCCAAATACTCATTTTATTAGCCCCATCTGGCCCCATCTCCCGCTTCACCCCATTATTCTCAGCCTGTAATAAATATAGTGAATAACTCCCACCAGTTAGATTATTTGCACTCACTGCTCCTATGGAGGAGGACAAGAACAAGCTCCATACGAGGAGAGACTAAACAGATTACAGCTGTTCAGCTTACAAAACAGATGACTAAAGGGGGATATGATGGAGGTCTATAAAATAAGGAACGGAGTTAGAAAAGGGAACAGAGAAGTGTTATTTACCCTTTCCCACAACACAAGAACCAGGGGTCACCCAAGGAAATTAACAGGCAGTAGGTTTAATACAAACAAGAGCAAGTACTTTTCCCACGCAACACACAATAAACCTGTGGAACTCATTGCCACAGGATGTTGTGATGGCCAAAAGTGTAACTTGAGTTAATTTAAAAAAACAACTGGATAAGTTCATGGAGGACAGGTCCATCAATGGCTATTAGCCAAGTTGAGCAGGGACACAATCCCATGCTTGGAGCCACCTTAAACTTGTGACTGCAAGAAGCCAGGAGTGGAAGACTCCATAGTTGCCTTGTTCTGTTCTCTCCACGAAGCTCTGTTACTGGCCACCATCAGAGACAGGATACTGGACTAGATGGACCTTTGGTCTGACCCACTAAGACAGCACTTATGTTTTTTATGTAACTTCCCTCCTCTGATGGGTGCAAACCTTCTTCTGATCTCCTGCCTCAGTTTATTCCTGGCCAGTTTATCCTCATTTGTTCTTGGGCTGACATTGTCTTTTAGCTTCAGTAGCTCTTCTCCCTCCCTGGTGTTTAACCCCCACAAGTATGGGGTTTCCAGAGCAGTATGTTGGAGAAGACAATTTCAACACATTTCTCCATTGACAAAAGAGCTGGGGTGGAAAGCCAAAAAGGCTGAATGAATCTAACTGTGAAACAATGGCACAGCCATTAGAGGGGCATTATCTTAGGGCTTGTGTACATGGGGAAAATAATTCAGATTGAGGTAGGGTGTGAATTTAAAAGCAGAATAGCTATTCCTTATTAACTCCATGTGTGGACACACTTATTCTGGAATAAGGTATCCTTGTTCCAGAATAAGCGTACTCCCACCTGGAGTGAATCCGGAATAGTTAATCAGGAATAACTCCATGTGTAGACAAGCTGTAAATCCACATAGGGAGCGACTCAGCTATTGCGGTTAATGTTCCCATATAGACAAGCACCGAGATGCTTTCCTTATCTGGAGTTAACTGGGAGCAGGCTTCTGGGCTTGCTAAAACCATGTAAATGGGTCTGCTCCTGTAACTGAAAAGTGAAGCTTATCTAACTTAGCTTGTAGTGAAGCAGTAGGTGGTTTGCCAGGAGTCGATTTTTATTGGTAAATGTCAATAAACGTTGATTTCACCGTACACACACAAACCAATGCAAAAATATTTCCATCAATAATAATCGAAATTTACAGATAGCCAAACTAAGAAAAATGCTGCCTGAGAATGTATTAGCCTTTGATTTAAGGCTATTAATTGTGTACACTTTGACTTATGCAGTGTTGTTGTAGCCATATGGGTCCCAGGATATTAGAGAGACAAGGTGGGTGAGGTAATAGCTTTTATGGGACCAACTTCCATTGGGAGAGGGAAAGAAGCTTTTGAGCTACACAGAGTTCTTCTTCAGGTCTGGGAAAGGTATTCAGAGTGTCACAGCTCAATATAAGATGGAACAGATAATTTAGCATAACCAGTTAGCACATATTCTAAGGGGCCATTCAAGGTGAAGTGGCCCGTTAATACCCAATGATAAACCTGAGATACATCAATGATATTTTCATCTTCTGAACAGACAACTTCAACTCCCTCACAGATTTCCACCACAATTTCAACCACCACCACCCGTCCATTAAACTCTCAACTTCCTGGATGCCACAATCAGCTTCAACAATGGAACCCAACGGACAACCATACATAAGAAACTCACGGATCACCACACCTGCCTTCATAGATCTAGTAACCACCCCAAACACACCAAGACATCTGTTATCTATAGCCAGGCACTCAGATGCTCTGAGGAGAAAGTCCGATATATACACCTTAACACACTCAAAACTGCCTTCACCAAACAAGGACACTCTGCCGAAGAAGTATATTGCATCATGGAACGGGCCACCCAAATACCCTATATGGGTTCCAGCGTGGGTGGTAGGTGACAACTAGAGGCGTGCGGTTGGAGAGGGTTTTATTTCTGTATTGAAGCAGGTTCTCTCAGGGTATCATCAAACAACTACAACCCATTCTCAATGGGGACCCCATCCTGAAAGAAATCTTTCCTGAACCCCCTCTTCTGGCCCTCAAACAACCTCTCCAAGCTCATCATCAGAAGCAAGCTCCGCGCAGACGAGGACACCGACTCAAAGCGGCGCCAGACCCTGCCAGAACAAGAGATGCAAAACCTGCAGACATCTCTCCACTGCTACAATGATCAACACCCTCCACAAGACACCTTTCAAGATCCAGGGGTCCTACACATGCCTATCACAACATGTGGGGTACCTCATCCAATGCACTAAATGCCTCAATAGCAACTAGTTGGGTGAAACCAGACCATCACTACGGTCTCAGATGAACTCACAGGGGGAAATGATAAAACCCAGAAACACCCTGTCACTTCTGGGTGAACACTTTTCACAAAGCGATCACTCTCTATCTGACCTATCAGTCCCCATCCTCAAAGGAAACCTGCACAACACTTTGAAAAGATGAGCCTGGGAGCTTAAATTCATAATTTTGCTAGGCACAAAATCATGGACTGAACCGAGACACTGGATTTATGGCTCATTACAACAATCTGTAACCCGCTCACCCTGTTTTTCTGTCCATTGACTAAAGGATTGTTAACGAGCTGTTCCACCTTGAATGGTCCCTGAGGTGGAGAGCATGAGCTAACTGTTTACACTGTACTATCTGTTGGATCTTCTATTTCGCGGTGACTCTGAGTAGCTTTCCCAGACCTGAAGAAGAGCTCTGTGTAGCCCCACAGCTTGGCTCCCTCATCAACAGACATTGGTCCAATAAAAAAAAATATGACCTCATCCGCCTTGTCTCGCTAACGTACTTGCACTTGGGATGTTGGCAATTTGTGCTTGAACTTGTAAAGCTTGAACTTTTTGAATCTCAACTTCTACTGTGATTAAATTATTGTCTGCCCCGCCCCCCCATCATTCTGCACAACTGTGAACATGTTAATTGAGACACATTTTTAAAAATGCTTAAAAATAAACATCGGGATTGTCCGTTGAAATTATAAAAAAAATCATCCAAGTCTCATCATAAGACTGGATGAAGCCAGACACACCTGTTGGTTGGTTGTTATTTCGAAACCATTTTTTTCCTCAAATGTTTTGTTCCATTGGCTAATAAACCTATTTGTTCCCAGAAGGCTGTTTGGTCCCTGGATAGCATTGGTCACAGGCTCCCGAAGAGAAGAAATGCAGGGTCCAGGTGGCTCTGCACAGTAATCAGCAGCTTGCATAGGCGGGATGTTGTTCCCAGATCATCGATGTAAGAGAGGGGGAATTGCAAAATTACACCCAGAGATGGGTGGGGGGATGAGACCTGACCCGTGACGGTGTGAACTCAGAGAGAGTAGAAAGCGGACGGACGTATAAGCACATAACTGGGATGGACGGACACTTCCAACTGCTACAAGGTGAAGAGTGGGAGGGAGACAAAAAAAAAACCACTCCTGCGGGACCCTCCCCTGATATAATATCTGACCGGGGGATAGGAATAGCCATCCCCCCCAGCTGTTGGGATATTCCAGCAGGAGAGAATGGGCCCCAGCCCCAAAAGATGTCATGTGAACAGAGGAGAATCTCGACTTTCGTTTCTTGTTTAAATGAGGACGTTTCTTGCCCTCACTGGTGGTAGAGAAAGGTCAAATTTCTCACCTGATCATTTCCTTTCCGCTACACCCTTTTTGCGACACCCTCAAGCAACCAGAAGAGCTCCTTCCCAAGGAGAGGCTGAGAGCAGAGCTACACGGCAGGGTCACTGTGTGTCATCCCGCACTTTTTTCCCCATCCCCCCCCATCATCATCCACTCTCACACGCTGAACTCCACTGCCATTCCCACAACGCCCTGTACCCGTGTCCTCTGGCTTTTCGCAGGCCATGGATTCTAAGGCCAGAAGGGATCATTGGGATCATCTCGTCTGACCCCCAGAAAACTGCCCCAAAATAATTCCTAGAGAAGAGCTTTTAGCAAAACATCCAACCTTGCGCCCGCCCACTTCCTGGAACCCAATATGAGTGACAGACGCAAGGAGCTCCATCTATTTAGCTTAACAAAGAGAAGGGCAAAGGGGGGTGACTTGATTCCAGTCTATAAGTACCTACATGGGGAACAAATATTTGATCATGGGCACTTCAAGCTATCAGACAAATCGAACAAGGTCCAATGGCTGGAGATTGAACCTAGACAAATTCAGACTGGAAACCCGGGGCAAATTTTTAACATTGAGAGGAATTAACCACTGGAATGACTTTCCAAGGGTCGTGGTGGATTCTCCATTACTGGCAATTTTAAAATCAAGATGGGATGTTTTCCTAAAAGATCTGCTCTACTTCAAACAGGAGTTAATTCGCAGAAGCTTGTATGGCTTGTGTCTGACTAGATGATCACAACGATGCTAGGAACCACAGCTCTGCCCTGCTCCCTGTGGCACAGAGTCACACGGCCGCGCCGCCTTTCAGAATCGGCACTTTTAATCGGAATCACAGCGAGATACACGTCACGGGTCTGGTCCCCCCGGCCACCCCCGAGGAGGGGAGTCAAATCCACATCCTGCCCCACCCCCACCCCCGAAATAAACGAGAAAGCAGGAAAACAAAAAACAGGGCGAGAATTGGCATCAACCATGTGCAGTGGGTGGGAGGGGAATCCAGCGTCCAGGTGCAACTATAAAAATCTTCCCCTGTCCAAAGTGTGAAGGGGTGGGGCTGGAGAGACAGGTGAGGGAGCGAGTCTGGAGCCATGCGCAGCAATAAAAGTCTTCCCCCCACTCCAATGCCATCCTTTGATTTGGTTTCTTCAGAAGAAGGGAATGAAACAAGGGTGAGAAAACGAGTGTGCAAGGTGCTGGCAGTGTGGAGCTACCAATGGAGGTACGTGCGCCGGGAAGCGTCCGTTGCCTTCAAAACCTGTTTGGGATTGGGGCCGACCCATGCCCCGCCCCCCTGGAATAAAGAATCCATTAGGGTGCTCCCAGGGGCGGGACTGGAATAACCAGCAGGAGGCGACGTCCTGTCCGTAAGCACCAAGTCCTGCCCCCTTGCGGAGACGCTGGGAACCCAGGAGTCCAGGGCCGTGGGATCGGGTCCGTAGATATCCAAGCACAGAGTCACGGGAAGCAAAGCCGATGTCCATGCGGAGCCGGAGGGGGCCGCGGGCCAGCGAGAGGGGGGGAAATCTCTAGATGCGGAAACTCTCCTCCTTGCCGTCAATGTGTTTCAGACGGAGGTACACGTCGGTGCCGATGCCCTGGAGGGACTGGATGCGCAGCGAGCCCCCCAGGTACTCGGCGTAGGCCCGGGAGGTCGGCAGCCCGAAGCCGAACCTGCGGCAGAGACAGACAGAAGGGGGGGTAATCACATGGGAGTTCTAGACTGAGACTGTCAGCTCTTTGGGCTACCGTAATACACCTAAAATAACGTACATAACCCGGGACAACGGGGTCCTGAGCCATGACTGGAGCTCCTAAGTGCTACCGTAATACACCTAATAACGTACAGCGCTTAGCACAACGGG